CAAAAGAAACCATGGTAATACAAAAAAGGCCTTACAGCTATTAATAAAATCTTACACTACTGGAAAACACTTTTTGATAATCAGTAACGTTCCCTGCATAAAATGAACCTTCTTTCAAGAAAAGGTAATAGCAGCTGCTCTCGTTCCTTAATGCTAATGTGGCAGGTTAATTCTCTCTGGCAAGTCACAAACCATGGAAAAGTTCACCCTTACATTCAAAACCACACAATAAAGCTACATGCAATATGATTATAACTGAAGCCCTGTGATACTTGCATTTGATTAACAAAATGCTTCACCCAATGAAATTGAGAGTAATGGACAGATACAGCATGGCTAAAATACAATTGAATTTATTGCATGTCTTCAAATCTCCCTGGGTTTTGCTGTGTGTGTTGTACAGATTGCATATTGCAATCAGTGTGTTGTACAGATTGCATCATTGTGGCATATAATGATCATTTTCAGGTTCATTGTTGTAATCCTGTAAATTTATGGCTAAGCATCACACTGCTGTCTATGGAGAATCCTATGCTCTCTTCGATAAACCGCATTTATTTACTTCCTTACCTGATAACAGGAACCTTTTTCCCTCTAAGTGGAGTATTAATCATGGGCAGAGCCTTTTTGAGATATAGGATTTTTTTTTGGAGGGGTGGGTCTGGGTTTTTTTTTTTAAGGTTTGAAGGCAAATTTCAGTTAAAAACATTCTACCCAGAGCATCTCACTGATTTATTGCATTGGAAAAATTGGATGTTTGCAGTCGTGGGGTGTGTGTTGGTGTTTAGTAGAATTTTACATTGATACATTGAGTTTGAGACACCAAAGCAAGTCATACTGCCCATTGATCATGCTAGCCAAAGAAGGCTCCTAGGGCAACTCCTTTCTGACTGTATGCCATTGTGCCACAAACTTTGCTGGGTCTGTCCTACCATTGGAGCAGAATATGTCCAAGATGGTTGTGGCTGAGATGTTGTCTGTCAGTATGATTCTGTGAGTATGACTGTGTCAGGCTGTTGCTTGACTAGTCAGTGAGACAGCTGTCCCAATTTTGGCACCAGCCCTCAGATGTTGGTAAGGAGAACTTTGCAGAGTCAACAGGGCTGTTTTTGTTGTTATCGTTTCTGGTGCCTAGTTCGATACCAGGTGGTCCATCCAGTTTTATTTCTTTGACATTGTAGCGATTGGTACAACTGGCTTGCTCAGCCACTTCAGAAGGCAGTTGAGAGTCAACCACGTTGCTGTGAGTCTGGAGTAATTTGTATACCAGACCAGTTGAGCATGGCAGATTTCCTTTCCTAAAGGACATGAGTGAATCAGGTGGGTTTTTCCAACAATCAGGAATGGTTTTGTGGTCATCAGTAGATTCTTAATTCCAAATAGTTTTATTGAATTCAGATTCCACCATCTGCCTTGGCAGGATTTGAATTCAGGGTCCCTGGAACATTAGCTGAGTTTCTGGATTACACTAGTTTACATTATCACTAATCACTGCCATGTCTGAGCTTGGCATGTTAGTGCTGTTTTATCTGAACCTCTGTGAGAACCAAATTTTGTACATCAGTGCTTCTATCTCCAAAGCAGACAGCAGTAGATTACTGTGTTGAGGTTGGTTGGCTCGCCGAGCTGGTTTGTTGTTCCGCAGACATTTCATTACCCTGCTGGGTAACATCATCAGTGTAGCCTCCGATGAAGCGTCAGAGACTGCATTAATGATGTTACCCAGCAGGGTAGTGAAATGTCTGCGGAACAACAAACCAGCTCGGCAGGCGAGCCAACCAACAACCCGAGCTACAAATCTACTCCAAAATCTTAGTAGATTACTGTATTTGAATGGTCCCATGGTTCTTCACAAAGGTACAGTCAGACACAAAATCTGTTGTTTTAAATTCTATTCTTATGGAATTGCAGATCTGTAACAATTTGTTTTTATCATTGGCAAGTGTTTCTTGTCATAGCCTTAGAATTAAACTTGGGCTGCATTTGTTGCAACTGCAGAAGGGGCACCCTGACTGCCAATACAGTGGCAGTGCTTGCGTAGGAGCTGTCGTCTTCTGCAAGGAGATATTCCTCCTGAGTTTTTGTTTTGCTCAGTATCAGTTGCCATCTGGTTTCACCTCTGAGGAACACTTAAACTGTTTTCAACCCGTAAAAGCAACCTCTCTCAACTTTCCACCCCTCTCACCCACTGTAACCTCTCCCCCGCAGAACGTGCAGCCCTCCGCTCCCTCCGCTCCAATCCCAATCTCACCATAAAACCCGCGGACAAGGGAGGCGTAGTTGTAGTATGGCGCACTGACCTCTACGTCGCCGAGGCCAGGCGCCAGCGCTCCGACACCACCACCTACCGCCCCCTTGATCATGACCCCACCCCCGACCACCAAACCATCATCTCCCAAACCATCCACAACCTCATCACCTCAGGTTACCTCCCACCCACAGCGTCCAACCTCATCGTTCCCCAACCCCACACCACCCGCTTCTATCTCTTTCCCAAAATCCACAAACCTGACTGCCCTGGTCAGCCCATTGTCCCCGCCTGCTCCTGCCCCACCGAACTTATCTCCACCTATCTCAACTCCATTTTCTCCCCCTTGGTCCAGGAACTCCCTACCTACGTCCGTGACACCATCCAGGCCCTCCACCTCCTCAAACTCCCAATTCCCTGGTCCCAACACCTCATCTTTACCATGGACGTCCAGTCGCTGTACACCTGCATTCCCCATGCAGATGGCCCAAAGGTCCTCCGCTTCTTACTGTCCCGCAGGTCCGACCAGTCCCCCTCCACTGACACCCTCATCCGCTTAGCCAAACTCGTCACCCTCAACAATTTCTCTTTCAATTCCTCCCACTTCCAACAGACAAAGGAGGTGGACATGGGTACCTGCATGGTCCCAAGCTATGCCTGCCTCTTTGTAGGTTACGTGGAACAATCCCTCTTCCGTAGCTACACTGGCCCTAAACCCCGCCTCTTCCTCCGTTACATTGATGACTGTATCAGCGCTGCCTCGTGCTCCCACGAGGAGCTCGAACACTTCACCAACACCTTCCACCCCAACCTTAAGTTCACCTGGACCATCTCTGATACCTCTCTCTCCTTCCTGGACCTCTCTGTTTCCATCTCTGGCAACCACCTGGAAACCGATATCCATTTCAAGCTCACCGACTCCCACAGCTGCCTAGAATACACCTCCTCCCACCCACCTTCCTGCGAAAATGCCATCTCCTTTTCCCAATTCCTTTGCCTCCGCCGCATCTGCTCCCAGGATGAGGCATTCCACTCCCGAACATCTCAGATGTCCTCGTTTTTCAAGGACCGCAACATCCCCCGCTCAGTGGTCGAGAATGGCCTCGACCGTGTCTCGCACATTTCCCTCAACTCATCCCTCACACCCCCTCCCCGCAATAACAATCAAAACAGAATCCCCCTCGTCCTCACGTACCACCCCACCAACCTCCGGATCCAACGCATCATCCTCCGACACTTCCGCCATCTGCAATCTGACCCCACCACCAAAGACATTTTTTTCTCCCCACCTTTATCTGCTTTCCGGAGGGACCACTCTTTCCGGGACTCCCTTGTCCACTCCACACTCCCCTCCAGCCCCACCACACCCGGCACTTTTCCCTGCAACCGCAGGAAGTGCTACACCTGCCCCTACACCTCCCCCCTCACCCCCATCCCAGGCCCCAAGAAGACTTCCCACATCAAGCAGATGTTCACCTGCACATCTGCTAATGTGGTATACTGTATCCGCTGTTCCTGTTGTGGCCTCCTCTACATCGGGGAAACCAAGCGGAGGCTTGGGGACGGCTTTGCAGAACACCTACTCTCGGTTCGCACTAAACAACTGCACCTCCCAGTCGCGAACCATTTCAACTCTCCCTCCCATTCCTCAGACGGCATGTCCATCTTGGGCCTCCTGCAGTACCACAACGATGCCACCCGAAGGTTGCAGGAACAGCACCTCGTATTCCGCTTGGGAACCCTGCAGCCCAATGGTATCAATGTGGACTTCACAAGCTTCAAAATCTCCCCTCCCCCTACCGCATCCCAAAACCAGCCCAGCTTGTCCCCGCCTCCCTAACCGGTCCGTCTTCCCACCTATCCCCTCCTTCCACCTCAAGCCCCACCCCCATCTCCTACCTACTAACCTCATCCCGCCACCTTGACCTGTCCGTCCTCCCTGGACTGACTTATCTCCTCCCTAACTCCCCACCTACACTCACCTTTACTGGCTCCATCCCCGCCTCTCTGACTTGTCTGTCTCCTCTCCACCTATCTTCTATCCGCCTCCCCTTCTCTCCCTATTTATTTCAGAACCCCCTTCCCCTCCCCCATTTCTGAAGAAGGGTCTAGGCCCAAAACATTAGCTTTCCTGCTCCTCTGCTGCTTGGCCTGTTGTGTTCATCCAGCTCTACACCTTGTTATCTTAAAGCAACCCAAATCCTGGTGCTTTGCTCATTTCAGAAGGAGCCAGACTATGAAGCAGGCATTTCACTACATTCAGGAAGTGCTTTTTGGCTCCGGTTAAAAGAAATAGCAAATATGCATTTATATAGCACAGGACATTTGAAAAGTGCTGTTCAATTATTTTTGAAGCAGAGACACTGGTTGTAATGGACGAATGTGAAGCGTTAATGATGTCCAATTTAAGTTTATTTGGCTTCAACGTAATTGTGCTTTGCGAATAATTTTGACAGCAATTATTTGGCCCTTGATCCTTACAAAGTGAAATCACAATTATTTAAATGGATTACGAGCAGGAAAGCAGGACGTTTTTCGCGTCGAGTTTATTTTTATGATCAATTTTACTTGGAAGAAGGAACAGCATGATGAATTGCTTAGGCATTTCTTTTAAAGAGAGGTAAGTATAGATTGAGTGAATGTGGATCATGATGTAACTACCCAACGAGTTAGTTTTTAACCTTGATAGCAGTGACTGAAAAATGAATCCATTCAGTCGGGATACCATGTAATTTGATTTTAATTCTTGCAGTTTGTTAGATTGTCAGCACTTCCAGCTGGCCTGGGCATGGTCTCTTTCAAAGTATATGCTTCAAGTAAAAGTCACCAGGACAAGTATTCAATCAAGCCTGAGCAGGTAAGTTCTTTTCCTCATGTTTTGTTGAATTCCTGTTAAGTTTTCGAAACCTGTTGGATTCGATGTTTATATGATGTAGAAGTTTTTTAAAAAATATAATTCTCTCTCTCTCTCTCTCTCTCTCTCTTCCTCCTCTCTCTCTCTTCCTCCTCCTTCTGTTTCTCTGTCCCCGTCCCCTGTCTGTCCCCGTCCCCTGTCTCTTTCTCTCTCTTTCTCCTCGCGCTCGCTCTTTCTCTCTCTTTCTTCTCCTCGCGCTCGCTCTTTCTCTCTCTTTCTTCTCCTCGCGCTCGCTCTTTCTCTCTCTTTCTCCTCCTCGCGCTCGCTCTCTCTCTTTCTCCTCCTCGCGCTCGCTCTCTCTCTTTCTCCTCCTCCCGCTCGCTCTCTCTCTTTC